GGTTAACAATTCTCAAATCATTTGTAAAACCACAAACTACTATCATTGGCTAGTTAAAGTAGGTGTAAAAAATCTAAATAATTTTAATTTATTTTGACATTCAAAGGCTTTTTTTAATGGCCTCTCAATGTTGGAGAAACAGAAAAAGGAATCAACGGGTGCTTAAGATGGTATAAAATCATCACAATAATCATGAAAGATTTGAAATTATTGCTCTATTATGATCCACCATAAATTCTCTAATTGGGTTGGTCCAATATTTAATACACCGGAGAAAAAGTAATACTTTTCTAATGGAAATACTCCCCCATATCTTATTCATGCCAACAAAAAAAAATTAATCCCATAAATAAATATATTTTAAATGGTAGACATCGATATGCATTGAATTCGGCTTTGTGACAAGTAAGTAAAGTACAAACAGATAAAAACGTATTCGTTTGTAAATCTATGTAATTTGGTAAGTTAATAAGTACTGTTTTTTTTATTCCTTACCTCGATTAACTTAATTAATTGCAAGAATAACCAACAAAAAAATAATAATTCACAAACTAACTAAAACTAGCCTATGTGGCTTAATCAAATCCATTAGAATTAGGATAAATGGTTAGATTTTAAATTATAATTTTTTTAGTGTTATTAAGCCCAATTTCCCTAATTATATTCTCTCCTTTTTTTTTTTTTGGTAAGCTTTGACTTAACCTTATCGTCCCGGTTATGCATATAACTCAACCGGTTTCACAATATTGTTATACAAGTAGCCAATCTTCCGGTTTCTCTACGATCTTTGGCACTAATTAAAGATTCGATTAAGAAAAATCAAAGCTAAAACACTAATTTGGACAGATGTCACCAATGGTCCCCGGTTTGGTATTTAAGAACCGGTAAGTACGGTTTTCACAGACTCACCGGACTGTAACCGAATAAAAAAAGTCGTCACTTTCATCACTTTAATGCCAAAAAAATTATATCCGTTGCTGAAAAAAAAAAGATGAGAAGCTCTTAACTTCAGTGGTTCAATGGCGGTTCCTTAGCCCAGTTCTTCACATTATAATCACTTTCGTAATTTTATAAGTTCGTCTCTCTACTTCTTTTTTTCCCCAAATTTTCTGGGTTACTAATTTTATTGTGAAATTTATCACATTTTAAAAATTCTTATTCTCATATCTAATTTCCAAATTCTGTGTTTGTATAAAACCCTAATTTGTTTGTTTTTTTGACTAAAGAAATGCTCTCGTGTTATTCAAAGATGCAGACTTGATCGATTCTCGAGAAGAAAGAAACCGCGAGTTCTAAAAAAGTTCAGATCTGGAAAAAGTGAGGTACTGATTTCTTTAATTTTTATCGCTTTAATTTGAATAAATTTAATCTCTTTATAGAGTTAAAGTTCCACTTTTTGCTCCCAGAAATTCTAGGGTTTTTTATTTTTTGACGAATTTTAAATTAAAGTACTTTCATTTCGTCATTTTCGAAGCTACAGCCTTTCTCTGTCTCCCACTCTTATTTGATTTCTAGATTTAAAAAACTTCCAGAAAATCATATAGAAACTTCAGATTCCCCTTTTACTTTTTGTTTTTGGGTACTTTTATAGTTTAAATTAAAGTGAGACAAAGTTTCGCCATTTATATTGAGTTTGCTTTGTTTTTGATTTTTCTCTTCCAGCTTCAGATTATAAGAAAAAACAGCTCGTTTTGGTATTTTCTACAATGGAAGTTTGGA